GTGTGTTTTGGGGGGGGGGGGGTCAAAATGCCCTGTGGCTGAGACTGAAGCTCTGGGACGAAGGGGAGGTGGTTGGACACAAGCCGCCGGAGATGTGAGCATAAAACCTTTTCTCTTACAGCTTCTGTTTTCATTTCTTTAGAGACCGGACAGGGTTGCAAAGTTGTAACTTGGGTGGGGGCTACACTAATATTGTAGATTACAATACACCCCATCTTGCCAAAATGTGAACCGGGCCCACACATTCACTGTGCGCTTTATTCCATCCTCTAGAGAAGATTTCCACAAGCAGCTCTTCATCTTTCTGGGCGATAGTTTTGCTGGATCTGGGATCTAATGGGGCCCCCCTTTATTAGGGATAGAATGATTATACAAGAGCAGCGACCTGAGCACGCTGTATAATTGTGTCCCTAATTCAATTTGAGGCCTTCTTAAATGAACATCGTGACCCATACATTTTATCTGGACTCTCTCTAACTATGAGGTTTTCATTGCCGTCCTTGCCTCCACTGGGGAGAATCACTCTGTCTTGGAGACCATTGTCACCGGGATAGAAGGTGATGGGACATTGTAAACTTACCAGTTGTCACCAGTAACATAGGTGAGAAGAAAGCTTCCAGTGGGGTTTTGTTGACAGATGTCTACGAAGGGATTTCCCCTTGCGCTATCCAGAACTCAAAGGATAATTAAACCCTCGGGGGTTTCTGCATATGTCTTCTGCTAGCACGCAGTAGACATATGCAAAAACATAAAAGAAAAAGTTTTGACCTTTTCGTAACTTACCTGTGTCTCTGCCGCACGCTCCCGGCCGCAGATCTGAAAAATCATGGGACGGGCACATGCACAGTACATGGCTCTTCGGCCAAGAGACACAAGGTAAGTCAATGCAGGCAGCGTGCACCCGCACAGACTCCGTGGGACACAGAAGACACAGCAGTCTGTGCTGGATCAGAGACCGGCACCAGCGCTGGAGGTACAGCTGAAAACTACAGGAAAGAAAAAGGTGATCAGATCAAGAGGCATCATTAGGTGCCCATTCACACTGGGCGTTTCATCTCGCGATTTCCACCGCGATATCGCGAGAAGTCGCCGTCCAATGATTTTCAATGCAGCTGTTCTATTGAACAGCTCCATGTCACTCGTCACAGTCGTTTGTGAGGGATTTTTCTATTTGTGCATGCAGTCCGATGGTAAAGGTCGCGCGATCGTCGCTGGAACGTCCCCCCAAACAGTCGCGCTATCCTAGCCGCGCAGATCCGCTCGAGGTAAGTGTGGCTTAGTGTGAATGGGGCCTTAAAGTAAGGTCATACACCAGAATTGGGGGTGGGGAGAGAAGAAAATATCCTTTAATGAAAAAGCTTGACTGGAAAATGGAAAAGCTCTTTAATTGCATTGATGTGTTTTAAAGGGAAGGACAGATTCGCAGTAGTTTGTGTGAAATGCAGAGTGAGGCCTTTAACACGTGCGGCCATTCTTCTCTATGAAAGGCGTGCAGAAGTCAAACCGCGGCCTGTCGCAATTTCACAAAACAAAGTGTAATCAACCTCAGATGTATAAACTGTCCTATTGCACAATATTGAACAGAACTATCTCTGCACATTCTGTTCTTCTCTCATCACAGAGCTGGGACTTGCATGCAGCACGAGGATCAGAACTGATCTCTATACTCGTTCTACATTATTAAATAACATATGTATCATATGTATGATTTGTACATGTATGGCAGTAGTAGAAATATGATTCTAGCACTTGCAAATTTTTTCTAAGAGAAGTTCCAGGAACAAGACATTGGACAGGCCAGTATAGACTATGTTCTATTGCAGGGGTAGGCAACCTCAGCACTCCAGTTTTGGTGAAACTACAAATTCCATCATGTACCCGTCTCTGGAAGTCATGCCTGAGTCTTGCAATGCCTCATGGGACTTTTACTTCCACAACAGCTGGAGTGCCGGGGTTGCCTACCCTTGCTGTATTGGAAGGGACCCGTTCACTGTAAGATCGGCAGTAGGACTGGGTGTGTTCTATGTACAGACCTAAGACATTCTGTTGCTTTGGCACAAGAGTATTTTAAATAGTAATGTAGCATTTAAAAGCAGATCTCTTTCTGGCATACTCATGTATAACCTGCCATACTCTGCTCATGCACGTGCACACTTTCTCCAAGTGCACCATCATGACAGTGTGAGACGGACCTTGGTATTGGCAAGCAGATGAAAGAAATGTTGTTGCCTGGCTTTATTTGTGCACGAGTCTGGCTGTAGCATGACTGCCAGAGAGAAGCTGTGATGTGGTCCTGGAAGTAGTATTGTGTCATGGAAGTAGATGTACATGTGCCGCATGTGGGGCTTATTCTCTTACTCATGCCCTGTATGGCAGAAACACCCAAGTTCTGGAGTTGAAAGGACACCAAGCTCGGTCATATGATGGGCTACAATCTCAATACAAATGAGTAAATTAAACATAAGATTGTAGTCCATCACAGAAGTGAGCTTGGAGCGGTGACTACTTTACAACACACACAGGGACCATGGGGAACAGAAGTAGCCCCCCTCCAGAAGGAAGGACAGTGTCAGCACCAATTCGGAGATGATTTGAGGATCTACGGCCGAGTGATACACAAATAAGATACATTGTTGTTCATAGTTAAGGTGCTTCAATGTATTTGTAAGATTTGACTCCTGAGTTTAGTTGTCACTTTAAAGAGACATCATAATTATGGTATTGTGTACAGGCGATGGGCTTGCTTTAGGCCTGGTTCACACCAAATGCAGAGCAGATCCACTCAGGTTTCTGCACACACAGTGCAGTGGGTTGTGCCGTGTTTTTGCAGCGTTCCGGGCTGTTTTGGTTAAAAAAATAATAATTTTCTTTTTTTAGTTTAACATGTGCTTTCAGTGCGTTCCAGGCATTTGCATGCGTTTTTGATGCATTTGCATGCGTTCCACAGCAGGTAAAATAGGGCTTGCTGCAGTTTTTTCACCTGCTCTGGAACGGAACGCTGCGATGTGAACTGGAGCAAAAAATACCATTGGAATACATTGGACGCAGTTTTGATCCGGTCTGCACCTGCTCCGCGCTTGGTGTGAACAAGGCCTCAGAGAGAACACACACACACATTGTGCAATCCAACAAACTAGTTTTATTTGCATTATGTAAACATTTCTTCAAACAGGTAACTCAAGAAACAGACAAAAGCTTTAGCACACACAAACGGAAACATATAAATAAAAGTCGACCTGTCCCCTGTACACAGTGGGGGGGGGTGGTGTCACCATTTTGGTAGCCCGAACATATTTCTTATAAAGGAGACGTCACCCTGTTAAGAATCCTGATACTTACTTGTCCCATTGCACTCACTTGCAGAGCTACACTGGTTGGGGAATGTTTAGCATGTGACACACTTCTGGAGGAGTTGGATGCCTGCATCTCCCACCTACAGAGACGCAATGCCAGCGAGTGCGACGATCAGACGCACCCAGGCGTGTTAGATTCTAAAGATTCTCTGGTCGGTGTAAACAAGCAAAGGTTGGAGTCACCTGATACGGGACATGTAGTCAAGAGATTCTTTTTGGCGAGTCAACTCAGTAGGAAGTAGCGACATCACTAAGGCGCGGCATGCTTTGCATCTTGGTGATGTCACTAGATCAGGGATAGGCAACATTCGCACTCCAGCTGTCATGGAATTTCAAATCCCATCATGCCTCTGGGAGTCGTGCCCGTCAGACTTGAAGTTCCACAGCGGCTGGTGTGCCAAGGTTGCCCGGCCCTACATTAGATCTCGGCTTCAGGTGACAGGTCCAAAAGAAAAATAAAAAAGTATAAAAAAAAAAAAAAGATATAACTTTAACAAATGAAAAGTTGAGCATCCGTATTAAACTGCTCATTCGCTGGAAGACAAGAAGTCAATATCTGTTATACAGATACCACAGTGGGGCTGCTCTCCAAAGCAAAGCAAATAGCCCAAATTTTCAAACAACTAAATCAGTAGGGAGCGTTAATCTAACTCAAATAGTAAGGCGTTCTCAAAGCTGAAGGCACATTGGGTTTTGTGGTCGGAGGCGACTGGTGTGCTGCCATCTACTTCCTTTAGGACAGGACTAGGTTCAGAGTTCTGTAACACACAGGCCTGTACCTGTTCTGTCACGTCGGGGATGTCGTCTTCATCCAGTTCTCTGACTGGGATTTCTTTGAAATAGAGTCCCTCGTCTTCTGTGCCGGAGTCTTCCTGCTGCCCCCGGCAGGTACCGTCTGATGGGTGTTCTGTCTGGAACGGTCTGCCTGGACTTTCCACATAGACACCTGGGTGTGGATCCTGCAGGCTGCCTTCTGCTCCGGTGTCAGATAATCCCGTCTCATCTGACTGGTAACTTATCTGTTTCTTCACGTCACTCAGGCCGGCGTATCGCTCCCTGGGGACCAGATAGCTTTCCTCCTCCAGCTCCGGTTTCTGTAAAAGAAACAAGACGTCATGAAATATTAATGGCAGAGCTGCCAAACGCCTTTATTGTCTGAACACACAGAGGAATCGCTTTACACCCGGCTGAACAGATCCAGTTAAAAAGGTGTTTAGGGCAGAGGAAGGCCTGCTGGGGCGTCATAGGAGCCAGCGCGGGGTCAAGTTGTGTCATCTACTGCCGCAGTCAGATTTGATTGAGAGACAAAACACGAGCTTTGTGTTACAGACGACTTCTTGTTTTACACTTTAACAAAAGCAGGGGGTGTAGAACTCATGAAGCCTGGGACATGCCGGGGGCGGGCAGTGGTGACAGAGCCGGGGGCGTCTGCTTCGTGAGAGAACCGACACAGGACGCAGCACTCGCAGCATTCCTGTCACAGGAGTTCCAGTACAGTGCACGGGCGGTATTGCGACGGGAAACTGCGCAATCTGACTGGGGTGCCATTAATTAAAAAAAAAAATTCACTGCCAACGCGATCGGCAGTGGTGTGCCATCCGTGACTGCCCAGCTATCGTGCATGAAACCGCGCGGATGGCCGGGCAGTCACCCAATTGCACACAACTGCTGATCGTGCTGGCAGTGCCATTATTTTCCAATAGCACACCAGTCCGATTGTGCGGTTTCCCGCCGCAACCCCCGCTTGTGCGGTCGCACACCATCGCAGTTGAAAACAGCGCATTGCGAAGAAAAAGGTTACATGCACCTTTTTCAGCGGATGCCACCCCCATACATGTGGATGCCACCCCACACAATCTCGCGGTACCGGGACGCACGCTCCGGGAGCGCCAAAGTCTGTACCCACCCTAAAGGGTAAATTCGCTTTCCCAAGTAATTTGGGAAAATAGAATTACCCGCATAAATCTGGCCTCTCCTCCCTTCCGCTATACTTACCTTTCAGCGAATGGTCCTTCCCGCCCACCAGTACGGGTGTTCCATCTGTACCTGTGCCATGTATGCTGAAATTTCCCTCGCAAATTGCAACCACTCGTTGGTCAGCGCGGTCACATGACACTTCTTAGCACTGCTAAATACGGTTTTGGTTAAAATAATTTTTTTGTATCAGGACAAGTAGATTTTTTTTTATGTCCACACCCCTGGAAAGGATATTGCGTTTCTTTTCATCATGCAGGTGCACATCCGGCCTCTAAATATCGGAAAGATTCCCATTTGCTATATACGTGTTCTCCCGAATCACCCTAGTGCAAGCTAATGAGACTGAACCGGCTGCTGCAAGTGAAGCAGATGGGTCTGCCTGGAACATTTTCGATAAAAGCATACATGTGGTCTGGACCAGTGATTTCAGTATTCCCGTCAGTAAGGTCAGCATTGCAGGAAAAAAACTAGCAATAGATTTATTTTTGGCGTGGTGCCCAATAAAAGGTTTATCAATGACCCATAACGTCTAGAATTCATAAGTTACACCATATTGTGCACATGTGAGGGGGATGGCAAGAGCGGCTTGGCGGAAGAGAAACTCACAAGGCTCAATGGGGTGAATTTATCAAAAGTGGAGTAGACACAATCTGGAGCAGTTGCCTGTGGCAACCAATCATCTTCTCTCTTCAGTATGGCCAGTTGAGATTTGAAAATGAAAGAGAGAAGCTGATTGGTTGCAGTGCAAATCTGCTCCAGTTTTGATAAATTCCCCCCACTATGTATATGTCCCCATGTTTAGTGCTGCTTACTATGAAGTGATGTTCATGACCACCAGATTGTCTCTCTTATTTCTATGCTGCAGTAGAAAACTAAAAGAGACCTTACAGGCCACCTGACCAAAAGATCAGATCCTGACAATATGAATCAGAGGTCTACAAAGACACACATGCTTGCACCTGGTGTAGACTGCAGGGAATGATGCCATCTTGTGGCCATTATGTACATTGCAGTCTGAACGGGTTTGAACCATTTTATGCTATTTAAAGTGACATTAAAGTCCGTCCCCCCACCAATGCTGCTTTTAGGGACTTACCGAAAATGATGCTTCTTGATCCGATCATCTTCTATCCAGTAGTTTTCAGGAGTCCCTCCTTTGCTGATCCAGCGTCAACTCTTGTGTCTTCTGTGTCCCACGGAGTCTGTGCGGGTGCACGCTGCCTGCATTAACATACCCAGTGTCTCTCTCCTTCTCCCAGCCGAAGATCTGAACTGTGCATGTGTCCGCCCTAAGATCCTTCATGACCGCTCAAGAATCTTCAGATCTTCAGACGGGAGCCCGTGGCGAAGACACAGGTAAGTAATAACCTGCTTGGTAACCTTTTGTTTATGTTTTTGCATACATCCGATGCTTGCTAGCACTAGATACATGCAAAAAAAAAAAAAGATGATTTAATTCTACTTTATAAGTAATTGTTTCCACATCTCTCTCAATCAAACTCATTCTGCGCAGCACGGCAAACCATAGAAAGGTAAATTCTTACATTTAGCTGGATGCGGGTCCTTTCATCGTTCATTTCAAGAACGTTAATCAGCGGCTGGTCTTCTAGCGTAGACCAGGGAATGGTAGAAGGGCGTAAACCGCTCTCCAGGAGTTCCCGCACATTCTCTTCATTAATAAATCTTCTTTCCTGCAACAAAATGAATGCCAGATGTCACAAAGAGGCCGCCAAGTTCAATGATAACATACTCTGAGGACTAAGACATGGAACAGTTACACCCGTTAGGGTTTTGTTCGTTAAGAAGGGTGGAGGGAAGTGGGGGTGTTGCTCAGAGCCGTACTTCTGTCATTGGCTTCTTATATCAGTTTAAGAAATGAAAAGGTTTTCTTTGGTTGCCATCGGCAACAGTCAGTCATAGCCCAGCAACGTCTGGATATTTGGCTCTTGTTTATAGATCTAGAATAGCGCAAGCGACAACAGACCCCTTTGTACACCAACGATATACACCCGCTATGGTTCCTCTATCTCAGGAGCAGAGCAGCGGGAAGTAACCAGGGGATGCAGTCACCATAGAACTGGACTTCACATTCTGACCCAAAGCTGGGTTTTTTTTCAGTTTTGGATAAAGAAATTAAACCTGGTTTGTGTCTCTCCGCTTGTTGTCCCGAATACACAATAGGATGTGAAAGGAAATCTCTCGTAGCTGGCGGTCACTGAACCCGGCGTCGCCAAACTTACCTCCAGAACTTACATTATTACCACCTCCAATACATTGGAATGAGGACAGGGCCTCTTTATTTCTAGTTTTGGATGGAGTGGAGAGGGGGGTTAAAACCCACGCCAGGTTTTTATTGGCTGTCCATGTTTCCCACTAGGGGGTGGTGACACGCCCCTCTTTACTTGTCCTGGTCACCATTATCACTAGGACTGAATGTGATGGGACAGTCTGAGTCACTGAAGAAGAGGAAATCCTCCAATGGGGACCCTTGTTCCGTCATAGAGGGATTTCCCTGACTTTGGAAATACTTCCCCTTACTTCCTGTTGTATCTACCGGACAGGAAGTGAAGAATAATCTCCCCAAGACAACACGGATGGCAAGGAGTTTAAAGCCTAGATACAGTGTCAGTTTAAATAAGTGAAAACACATTTCAGGTTCATCACAATAAAGAAGTGAGAAAAGTTGGTTTTCTTTACAATATCAGCCACATCCTGAGTAGAAAAGCCTGTGCCCTGCCTGCAAGCTGTAGAGGGACTACAAATCCCAGCAATATATTATACAGCAATGCAGAAAACCACCAGCTATAGAGGACTACAAATCCCAGCAATACATTATACAGCAATGCAGAATGGCAGCCGGCTACAGAGGACTACAAATACCAGCAATGCAGCATAATATGAAGCTACATACTCTCTGCTGCTCTGGGGAGCAAGCCTGATGTCTCCAGTGGAGGATCTCAGGAGGGCTGTGCAGTTTCCATGGTGTGTGTGGGGTCTTAGGTGGCTATGCGGACTCTCAGGTGGACTATGGGGGGGGGGGTCTATGGTGAGCTGTGCCGTCTTGGGAGCGGAAGCGGGCAGCGCGATACACAGGAAGGAGATTTGCGGCCGGCGCTGTAAACAGCAATTCACAGTAAGTCTCCGGGAACCTTCCTGGGGCCTTAGCAGCCTTCCTGTTAATTGTGAGGCCGGTTTACAGCGCCAGCTTCAGTTTTAAAAAAGAATGAAAGTGCCGGTATCAGCACTTGGTATGGGGGCATTTTCAGGAGTACCGGTGATGAATGCCCGGTATCAGCACTTGGTATGCCCCGGTATCAGCACTTGGTATGAGGGCATTTTTAAGAGTATTGGTGATGAATGCCGGTATCAGCACTTGGTATGCCCCGGTATCAGCACTTGGTATGCCCCGGTATCGGCACTTGGTATGCCCCGGTATCGGCACTTGGTATGCCCCGGTATCGGCACTTGGTATGCCCCGGTATCGGCACTTGGTATGCCCCGGTATCAGCACTTGGTATGGGGGCATTTTCAGGAGTACCGGTGATGAATGCCCGGTATCAGCACTTGGTATGGGGGCATTTTTAGGAGTACTGGTGATAAATGCCCGGTATCAGCACTTGGTATGGGGGCATTTTTAGGAGTACTGGTGATAAATGCCCGGTATCGGCACTTGGTATGGGGGCATTTTTAGGAGTACTGGTGATAAATGCCCGGTATCGGCACTTGGTATGGGGGCATTTTTAGGAGTACTGGTGATAAATGCCCGGTATCGGCACTTGGTATGGGGGCATTTTTAGGAGTACTGGTGATAAATGCCCGGTATCGGCACTTGGTATGGGGGCATTTTTAGGAGTACTGGTGATGAATGCCCGGTATCGGCACTTGGTATGGGGGCATTTTTAGGAGTACTGGTGATGAATGCCCGGTATCGGCACTTGGTATGGGGGCATTTTTAGGAGTACTGGTGATGAATGCCCGGTATCAGCACTTGGTATGGGGGCATTTTTATGAGTGCCAGTGATGAATGCCCGGTATCGGCACAGATTCCGGTCTGGGTGCACCTCTAGTATATAGAGGAAATGTCTATTTGGGTTTTAGGTGTTATTACGCCTATTATATTACCTGCAGGGAATTGCTATTTACACCGAAGTAGAGATTCTTCCAGAGCCCGAAGCACTCGGAGGATTTGGTCAGCTCTATGACCATGTTGTCCTCGGAAACCTTCACGGCGGTATTGTTCGTGTTCAGGTTGTATTGCGGCAGAAACTGTACAAACAAGACGTACGGGGCGTTGGTGTGCGTCACACAAAACCGAATCTCGCACTCATAGCTGCCGACCTCAGAGGTGATACTGTGCTCATCGATGTCCTTTACGTGAATCACCAAAGTCAGTGAGGTGGCATCCTGTGAGCACGTGAAGATGGGGCACTCCGGGGAAGCCGCGAGCACGACGTTAATGGCATCGGCTCCATCCGTAGTTGGCTGCTCGACCCCCTCAGGTTCTTTGTCTGAAGGAGGCCTCTCCGGCGCGTTGCCAGACTCCTGGGTATCGTCAGACTCCTGGGGCTCAGGGTCGGGGGATGTGGACAATTCAGATTCAGGTTCTGGGACATCAGCCAGCTGCTCCTGCATCAGTTTCAGGAGGTTCTGCTGGACCACGGGCACAGTGATCACCAGCTGCCTCTTGAACTTGTTGAACTGGGCCGTCCCTCTCTCCTCCTCCACCAGGTAGGGCAGTTTTAGCTGCAGCTTATAGGCCGGCTTCTGGGACTCCAGACTCAGAGCTTTGCCTTCGATGTGAAGTTTGACCTCAGACGCCGAGCTCAGCAGCGGCAGATCTACGGTGATGAGCAGCTCCTTTGGTACGGGGCTGGGCGCCGAATCCCTAGCATCCCTATAGTCTTGCATATCTACATAGGACCGGTGGTGGATGGTGTACCGGGGAACGGTGGGCTCCTGGTTGGCTTTACGGTCTTCAGGTTGCGGCTGGACCTTCGGGTGACCGCGGCTGCTCTTCCTCTGACCTCCTGGCACATCGTAGGGGTAAGGGAAGCTCAGCGGATCTCCAGGATCCTGCTGCTTGGGGTTGGCACCAGGGCGGGGTTTGCGGGTGACGCAGGCTTGCGGCACCCCCCGGTATTTCTCTCCCAGTGTGCGCACGTTGGTGGCATCCAGGACCACATGGAAGCTTTGGGACACTGTATCCAGGGCGGTCAGGTCCACCATGGCCTTGAATTTGTCACTGTTGGCAGCCAGGCGCAGGGTATCCGGGTGGAAGATGACATCATAGATGACCTCCCGGCTTCCGTCCGGGCTTAGCTCCTCCCGGGCTGGGCTCAGGGAACACGGCAGGCTCCAGTGCTGACCAGACCGGCCCTCCCGGTCTGTACCCGGCACGCAGTGAGGACGGCGCACCAGGCCGTTGCTGCAGATGTTAAGGTAGCAGCTTCCCTGGCCGTCCAGGCTGGTGTGCAGCACATGGCCCGGCTCCGGGTGCAAAAACTGGACGTCCATGCCCCTCTCCCGCTCCATCTCGCTGATCTCCTGCTCGTAGCGACGCCGGTTCTCCGGGTCGCTGATCTCCTCAGCGTACTGGGCGAACAGCTCCCGGAAGCGGACGTCCTGGAAGGCGGACTTGAAGCGCTCCAGCTCCTCCGGGGTCACGTTCAGCTCCTCCAGCCTGGCCGCCATTCTGCTCCACTACTGATCTCCTAGGAGACGGGCGCCTGGTGATGAGGTCAGGGAGCCGCGACCGCTAGAAGCCGATTGGGCAACGACGGGGTACGGAAGGAGGCGGGCCGGCCAATCAGGCAGTGGCGTCCTTATGGTTGCCATGGTAAGTCATGCCGCGGTTATTTACACAGCTTGAGCGGCTGCCTTGGGGGAAGGGTCGTGTGGGGTCACCATGTTGTGTAGTCTCCAGTCCTCTGTCATAACATCTCCCAGCTGTTTTCAGATAACAGGGAACGGATATTTTTAGATTTGTCCCAGAACAAAACATTTGTGGGGAGCAAATAGTGCCACTGGTGACTTCCTCCTACAAATACCAATTGTCTGGTTGTCATGGTGATCCCTGGGCTGCAATGATTGCTGACCCACTGGCCCAGAAGAAGCATGCAGCAATGGAAGCCATCAGATCAACGTGACAGCCAGGCAACTAACATTTCCAGGAGACCTCAGCAATGACCGCCTACATGTCTCTTAGTGAATATAACAATCCTGTACTTTGATCATGAGGAGGGAAAACAAAAGATTTGCTTTAGGGCCAAGGCCATTATGTTTATTGCCTTGATGGAGGAACCCCGCGTGTTTCTGAAAAGTTGTACTTGTTTGTGACTTTTGTAGAAATAAAAGACTCAATTCACAAAGAGGAAGGTGGGCAGGCAAGATGTTTTGTATCAGGGTGACAACACAGGAGCACAATTTGAATGAAAGCTTCAGATTTAGAAAGATTGAACTTGTAAAATGTCATCACCATGATAATGATAATCTGTCATTTCAGGAAGCGGGTGTGCGTCTACTTAAACCATTTGGAGTTTTCATTTTCATCAGAAATATAAGAATTGGTACGTCTAGGGATGTGCCGATACCGAGTATTTGGGCGAGTACTCGTACTCGCCCAAATGCTCCGATGCCTAGCCCGATACTTCCTGTATCAGAAAGCCAGGCAGTGAGTCACTTGTGATGAGGGAGCATGGAGCCGGCTTCCCGGCCAATCAGGTAGCCGGGCAGCATGTAATGACTCGCTGCCCAGCTTCCCTGCTAATCGGGAAGTCGGGTGGCGAGTCTTTACAGGCCGCCTGGCTTCCTTAATGGGACTTCCAGTATCGGCGAGTACCGCAAAATAATATCGGTACTCGTACTCGATACCGGAAAACCGGTATCGGTGCATCCCTAGTTACGTCATACAGTGACCACGTGTAACAACGTTTCTTCCGTGCACACTGTTTGTAGTGACCCCTGGCACACAGCCATTGTGACCTCCCCCTTATATTGAGCAGGTCCCCCTTTTCCTGACCCATCGAGGCATGGACTCCACTAGACCTCTGTAGGTATGTTGTGGTATCTGGCACCAAGCAGTCAGTAGCAGATCTTTTATGTCCCGTACGTTGTGAGGTGATCGGCCTCCATGGATCAGAAATGTTTTTCCAACACATCCCACAGATGCTCAATTGGATTGAGATCTGGAGAATTTGGAGGTCAGGTCATCACCTCAGACTCGTTGTTGTGTTCCTCAGACCATTCTTGAACAATTTTTGCAGTGTGGCAGGGCGCATTATCCTGCTGAAAGGGAATACCGTTTCCATGAAGGGTTGTACTTGGTCAGCAGCAATGTGTAGGTCGGTGGTACGTGTCAAAGTAACATCCACATGAATGGCAGGACACAAGGTTTGCCCAAAGCATCACACTGCCTCCGCCGGCTTGTCTTCTTCCCTTAGTGCAGGAGTAAGGCAACCTTGGCTCTCCAGCTGTGCTGAAACTCCAAGTCCTATAAAGCTGAAACCGTTAATGTTGTTTGGTATTTCTCTGAAAACTAGCAGAGCGCCTCCTGGTATATGTGAGGGCGCCTAGGCACTGCTGTGCTTACAGCCGCAGTCTCCCTGAAACACATTCCTAGTTTCCTGTGATCATCTGCACTGAGACTATACGACAGCATGGTGGTTTCCACATAACATCTTGCAGCTGAGGCATAGCCCTTGCCCAAGGCTTTCTCCCATGTATACATACTGCCGTGCTCTTGCTCCAGGACTGGTCTCCCCTCTCAATGATTATTTCCCGGGGTCACATGTGAGTGCACTACACCAGATTGGGTCTGTTTGCGCCGTATTCCCTTATAGTATTGCTTCCTGACTGCTAGTCTCAGTCAGGACATTTGGTGATGTCACTACAATGCTGCTCGCTCTTCTCCATACTGGAGGCTCAGACATGAGGAAGCAAAGTCCTTGTGGGGGATCTATCAAAACTGACGCAGACCTAATCTGGAGCAGATTTGCACTGTAGCCAATCAGCATCTCTCTCATTTTCAAATCTTACCTGAGCATACTGAAGAGAGAAGCTGATTGGTTGCCACGGGCTACTGCTCCAGATTCTCTCTGCTCCAGTTTTGATAAATCCCACCCAACCCCCCCCTTGCGTCCTCACAGACACACAGAGCAGATCAAGGCATGTTAGTCAGTAATGGAGAAAAGAACAGCCGCAGGGAGACCACAGGCAGTACCAGTGACTAGTCCTTTGCACCCCACCAGCCTTCTTTTAGGCACAGCTTCCAGCGTTCAGAACCCTCCTCTGACAGAAACATGGAGGCTTCCCTTGCTGACTTCTCCTTCTAACAATGAGAGTTGCCTGTAGGTCATGCTGGAACTCATAAGCGGAGAAGGTGGCATTTTGACTGCACTGGCTTGTCCCAGATGTCCAGAGTATAGTAAATGTTCTCAATCCACTCAATAGAAATGCGTCGGGGACAAGCCTACATGCTGACGCTATTTGCAATGAATTGGGAAAGCTTTCCAGAAGTATTGGCAGACTGCGCGGTATTTTTCCCTGGAGTCGGGCTGCCCGATGCCAAGAGTCAGCTTGAGGTGGGGTGGGATGGGGGTATGGCCGTGAGGGAGCTCCATCCATACGTGCATTGGTTAAAGCTCCCTCACATGTCCTATAGAGGTGCCTGGACCGGAGTGACATCACATTCTGGCTCCGGTCACCTCTACAGGGCACGCAAGGGCACTGTACCAGCAATGGACATATGGATGGAGCTCAGCTCAGCACAGCAACCCACACTAGACCCCAGGCTGAGGATCCACTCCAGTTCTCAGAGGGCAGGAAGACTGGGTGGAATATTTTTTGGAGTGTGTGAGAGATTGTGTCTGTGGCTTAGTACCGTGAAATGAATGCACTGTATCACACCAACCGTGCATTCTGGTGTGTTGGGTTGCCATTCACACCTACCACAGAGCTTGTATGCCCGCACCAGAACATGTGGTACCCGAATTCCATGCGTTCCATTGCAGTGCGACCTGATGACCAAGGGAAAATGGGGGTCCTGAGATTACACAGGTGGAGAACCACTGCTATAGAGGGTTTGAGATAGAATAGACATGATACACACCTTTTAGATTGAGGGCACTTTCAGGAGGAGCTCATCTCTCACTATAAAGCTTTCTTTTAAACCCCAGCTCAAAAATCTTTTCTAGCTTTGCACTGATTGAGGAATGTGAGGAATGTCTGGATCTTCTCATTCCACTCATGCCTTGGCTTGATGGCACATGAAAATTAATTCCACCCAGTCAAGTCACAGACAGGGATAAAAAAAAACAACCCAGTTTGATTGGTGTTGGGCTGTAGACGGTAATGCAGGGAGAGGTTTCCATAGCATGAGGTGAATGGAGAGTGAGCGGCAGGTTCCCGGTAATACAATGCGCTCTCAGCTTTGCACAAAGGTCATTTCATCTCATCAAGTGACAGTACAGACCATCATCACTGATCTACAAGCCGGCTACACGCCAGTGGAATCTCATATGAAAAAGTTTGTTTCAGGAATGTTCGATTTTCTAATAGTTATTGGGGACAAATCGATGATCAGTTTTAAATGAGAAAAAAAAAATCTCTCTCAAAGGAGCAGGATGGAACTTTATCTCCAATGAACAGAAACCTAACAGTGAAAGTGGTTTTCACTCCGGAAACTCCGTTCAATTCCAAAACTGAATGTTAAAACCAAAGGAAATCTCTGACGGCATTCTCGAATGTTCTGAAGAGATTCTTCTATGGTGTGTAGCGTGGAAGGTGGAATCTGAACGTGGATGGCTAGCTTAAAGAACTTTTTTTATTCCCCCAAATTGACTGCAGTTAACCCTTGCAGTGCAGGAGTAGCACCACTGCATTTGTTAACTGTTCATTTTGGTCTAGGGACTAAAAGAACAATATACTCGCCTGATCCTCAGTCCTGCGCTCACCTTTCTCCGCCTCCGCTCTGGCATGTCCCTCGGTGTCTTCATGTCTAATGCACCTGACCGCCGGAGCCCAGAGGAGAAGAGGCTGTGTGGACCAGTCTAGCAGCTGGATGGGACTGAGGATCAAGTGAGAACATTTTCCTTATTTTCATCCCTTGTCCAAAATATAGTTAACTCTTGCAGTGCCAGGGGCAGCCTCACTGCAAAGGGTCATTTAATAAAATTATGTAGCATCTCTTTAAGCAAAATTAGACTTAAAAAGTTGGGGTGCACTAATAGTTTTTTCGGTAGAGTAGCGGATATTTATATTTCGGTACTCGCCGATACCGGTACTTCCGGCAGCATGGAGCAGGCTTCCCGGGCAATCAGGAAGCCGTCTCCATGCTGTTTGGCTGGCTCGAAGCCGATTGGCCGGGAAGTCGGCTTCCCAGCCAATCAGGAAACCGGGAGGCGGTCATTACCTGCTGCCAGTCTTCCTGATTGGCTGAAAAAATGGCTCAATGCTGATTGGCCAGGAAGCCAGCTGCCCAGCCAATCAGCATTGAGCCGGCTTCCCAACCAATTAGGAAGCCGGGCCATGAGTCATTACCCACGGTCCGGCTTCCTGATTGGCCGGGAAGCCGGCTCCTTGTTCCCTGGCGGCAATGCTGGTCAGAGAAAATCTCCCTCTGACCGGAAGTTCCGGTATCAGGATAAGAAACTGAGCATTTGGGCGAGTACGGGTACTCACCCAAATACTTGGTATTGGTGCATCCCTACTGAAAATCACCCATTGCTAGCCTTCTTTTCTGGACTGAAAATGGTAGCTTGAATGGGTGACTACCATGTATGACACTTTCAGGGTTCAAGTTACAGCCAGACGGTGTATTTGCTGAGAACTATATAAACTTTACCAATGTATTGAAGTGCTACTGACCTTATTGTGACTCTCCTTATATCAGGGGCCAAGTCAGAGCTCTTCTGTATTGTAGAGCAGCACCATGCACTAATAAATGATGGCGCCTTCTGCTACCAACCTAGTGAAAGTAAACACAATATCTGTAAAGAGGAATTGTCTTCTACACAAGGAGTACGATTATTAGGGAGTGTTTGTGTGTATTCTCAGATTTATTTTATGTATACACAATAAAATGAAGATCGCATTTGTGGCACCGGCCCATTCTGTTTATTGCCATGTGAGTGATCTCTCCATCGGCTGTAACAAGACTCAGACAACTTTTCATGCACTAAGAAGAGTAGGAAGCGGTCTATGGTAGAACATTTGTTTTTTTCTTCAAATTTTGATGAACAGGAAAGAAATACAGAAATGATCCTCCTATTGAACGAGTTCTTTGGGCTGACAAAAACAATCCCTACACAGGAGTAAGCAACCTCGGCACTCTAGTTGTGCTGAAACTACAAATGCCATCCTGCCTCTGGCTGCAGAGTCTTGCAATGCCTGTGACATGTGGTTCCACAACAGGGGGAGTGCCGAGGTTGCCTATCCCTGAGCGTCATGTATTAGGACTAAGACAATGTTTTCTACTCTGGTGCATTCACACGCACGTTACCACAATGCATGTTACTTGCGTTAGAATCTTGCAGTGCCATTCATTTTCAATGGTAACCCACCACGCAAAACAACTACAACCCAAATTTGTTGCAGCACATCACAAGGCACTACCATGTGTTGTGGGGTGCTGTGTTGCCAAAATTTGTGCATGTCTGTTTTCATAAGCGTTTTGGTGCGCTCTCCTTGAACAGACTGCTCTAAAGAGCAACTTTCCCCACCAATTGAATGGCACCCAAAGCAGTTACTTTCAAGGCATGCCAACCGTCAAGGCTGCCAGCGTGCTTATTTCAGCTCTCAACCGAACTTTCGTCACGCAAATGGCTGGTGTCATTGCTGATCACATGTGCGGCACCATGGCAACTGCAATCCAACTAGAGGCTAAGATGGCACCTTCCTTGGCTGTAAGGGATAGGAGGGTGAAGTTCCGCTTTAACTCACATGCATCAACTCATTACAACAGGATGTCAAGGTATGAATAGACCCTATAACACGCTGAAGCAAAAACACCTCTTACAGCTCACATTGTCTAAATCAATTGTCTCCTACAGCACTAGGAACTAGAGAGGAATGAGCTTCTATGGGAGTTAATGCTTTTCCTTCAGGCAAGGGCTTAGTGGTTAGCACGCCTACCTTGCAGTACTAGGGTCCTTGAAATGAAAAACAAAGAGCGCCTCCATCGTGTAAAAACACTTTATTAAAACGGTATATGAAGAGCTAAAAGCATACTCACAAACAGATGAGATAAATAGGCATAGAATGTGAATCAGCAAATGAAAAAACACTGGGATCGTATGTATCCGGCTCAGCCGACAAGCTGCATACCCTCCCTGGTTTACGCGTTTCAGAGGACACGCCTCCTTCCTCAGAACCAATGGTTTAGCTCATCTGTTTGCGAGTATGCTTTCAGCTCTTCATATACCGTTTTAACACGATGGAGGCGCTCTCTTTGTTTTTTGGTTGCCCTAGACCAGCGGGATGCTGCCTCGAGAGTATCACTTTCTCACAGTTACTGGTGCTGGCGCCTGTGCTATTAACTCTTTGTAACTAGGGTCCTTGGTTCAAATGCCAACCAGAACACTAACTGCATGGAGTTTGCATGGTTTCCTACCACAATCCAAAGATATGCTGGTAGGTTAACTGGCCCTACTGTGTTCACATGTGAGATAGGAACCTTAGACTGTAAGGGTGCTGAGGCTTGATGTGAATGTACAGCATGTAAATGGGCCGCACTATATAAATACCTGCAATAAATAATTTGAATGTGAATGTTCGGCTTATGGCCATCAGACAGTTCAGATCATTTTATCTGCTAAAGCCTTTGCATATATCTAGTGTCAGGTAGACTCATCTTAGCAAACAGGAAAGACGTCCATTACAATTACTTTTTGGATATTCCATCAAAATCAGGATAATATGGCATAAAGCGCCATAGAGCGTGTAGGCCAATACTGAGGGACAAATGAGATCACCGTCCTGAACATCTAACAGGCGGTGTCATCCAGTCCAGCTAGAGAATTTGTAATGAAGCGGATGTCATGGTATTTTTTTTTTTTTATTACAAAAACAATAAAATACAAACGAACCATATTTATAAAAATATTTTTTTTCCGTTCAGGGAATGATCACGGTGACATATATCCATTTTCCTCTCGTCAGATGTTCTGCAGCTTACTGAAAAGACAAAAAAAGATGTGAAAAATGATATGTAAATATATAAGAAAACAATGATAGCACTGAAGCGCCGTGGTATAAACTAATGCAAATACAATTTTAAAGGATATTTAGGTTGCAGTGTCATTTTTTCCCTTAACCCCTTCATGACGGAGGCCTTTTTTTAAAACCTCCCCAGCTCCCCGCGGACACCAAGGAAGCCGGTCCCGGGCCCGTAGGAGGGGCTAGGTTAAAAAAAAAAAAAAGTTATATTCACCTGAAGCTCTGAGCCGGCTTCTTCTTAGACCGGTCCCTTCCAACGTCTCTTCCCCTCCTCTGCAGCAGTCTAAGGTCCCATAAATCATCAACGCCAATACACAGTGTATAGATGTGAGGAAGATTTCAATGCTGCAGGTAGGAGAAGACAGGCTGGAGGGAGCGCCGTGACAGCTGGCTGCCTCGAAGCTTCGGGTGAGTATATCTTTGTTATTTGAGCACTTAGACCCAAACAAGCACTTCACCCTTACAGTGTGGTGGTAGTAGCCCACTGCAAGGGTCAATAAGAACCATTACTACTGTTCTTCTTTAATAGTATAAAAGCTGGCAGACATCCGTACACCATGGTGCCAGATTCTGCCTACTAAACTTATCACATAAAATCAAAGGGGGTATTGGGTAAAAAATTCCAATCTGTCTTTGTTAGTAACAGACGATAGGTAGAGGCACAACAATCAAATCACTGCAAATCGTACAATAAGCATGCATAATTGTATTAGCTGAACCTGTATGTTTATTCACTAGATAGCAACCCCAAGGGGGAAGGAAATAATACTTCTATTTCAGACTAATGATTTCTCTTGAGGGCTGTTATCAAGTGTTTCTGCATAATAACCATGCGTACTGATGGAAAGGTCGGATCTTAGGCCTGCCATCACATGTATTGCAGCTGACAAATGTTGCCCATTGTTCATCTGGTTATACTACACAGACAGGGAAATCAACTTCAAGTAGATCATATTCAGCTGCACATCATTGTTCTGGGCCACCTTCTGGAAAGTGACAACACTGAACTATGTCTGAGCAATGTGTGTTGGCCCAGCCACTTGTAGTCACCATCAGGGGTGCCTGATGCTCAAACCTTGTCTCAAAGTATCACCCTAACCGTTCCATCCGCTCTTCCAAAGACCTCCTGCTTTCCAGCTCCCTCATTAACTCCTCCCATGCTCACCTCCAGGACTTCTCTAGAGTCTCTCCTATCCTATGGAACTCTTTACCCCAACCTGTCCGACTATCTCCCACCCTGCGATCCCTTAAGACTCATCTGTTCAGGGAAGCCTATCCCACCTCAACCTAACCACTGAACTATCACGTTCTCAAACAATTCATCCTCACACAGCTTCCTCCTCATGTATCACTTGTCCCTCCCTTTTAGATTGTAAGCCCTCAGGGGCAGGGCCCTCCTTACCATCTTGTCTTGAACTGTATTGTGATTGTAATGTCTTCCTTATATTGTAAAGCGCTACGCAAACTGTTGGCGCTATATAAATCCTCTATAATAATAATGTAACAGGGTGACAATTGAGAGACAGTTGTTCAGGCACTTCAAATTTAAAGGTTGACAAGAACCCCTTTATAGCTTCCATTTACGTTGTTACTTAAATGGAAGCAGTAGTTTTAAAAAGGTCCAAAAAATGTTCTTGTCGGTCGACCTTCAGAAAGCATTTGACTCGGTGTCGTGGCATTACTTGTTCCCTCTTTTGAAAAAATGGGGCTTTGGTCCATCATTTTTGGGAGTGCTTCAGGCATTATATAACAACCCCGTGGCACAAATAAAGTTGCAGGGATTTTTATCAGACTATATCCCCATTCGACAGGGTACAATATTGCCTGCGAGGTTTCTCCGGGTTACTCAATATATCCTTGGTTGAAGCGAATTACAAGGTGTTATCGAGATGGTATATGGTCCCCTCCAGGATTGCTAGGATATTTCCAGAGATATCTTCTAACTGCTTTAGAGGGTGCTCAGTCCCGGGCACATTCTTCCACGTATGGTGGCAATGCCCTAAGGTGCGGACTTTCTGGAATGGGATGGTTGCCCTTATATATAGTGGTCCGAGTTTGTGTCCCCAATGGGGCTCAATATGCTTTGAACTGTCCTATACCAGGAATTTCGAGAGCCCAGGACAAATTGATATCCGTCCTCTTCTTAGCAGCTAAAATAATCATAGCAAAATCCTGGAGATCACCAATCATACCCTTTCAACAGGTCAAGACAAAACTATCATGGATAATGATACACGAGAAGATGCAGAGTATACTTATGGACTCTGAAGAGAGTTTTGAACTGACCTGGTCACCATGGATTCAATATATGGGAGTGACGGCTGTGGCCTGATCCGGTCTTGGATATGACTATAAGCTGGAGTGAGATCAATGCTTAGGGAAGACCTTCTTCCTCGCCTTTCATATGTGTTATGGTATAATTGATTGTTTATTTTGAAAAAACAAATAAAAGACTTTGTAGAAAAAAAGGTCCAAAAAAAATAATTGCATGAACATAGGAGTTTATAGGAGATTCTAGTGATTGGCTTTAGATCCACTTGTACACACAACACTTGTAACCTGGCAGCACTGTTGGCTCTCTGGCTTCATTACTTTCCGAGTAACGTACCTTAAGAGCAATTATGCGGATCAGGAGCTCTTCACTGCCAAGAGGCCTAGAAGTCGTGAAGCACTGAAGTACGGAGCGCTTTCATGGAGCGTTAAGATCGCTCCAAAAATATTGGCATCTTGCGATAATCTCGGCATCTGTACATGTGATAATTGTGCACGCACAGAAAAATACCAGCGCTTAACCAGAAGCAGGGAAATCCAAATGTCCCTCTAAACATCTACACTATATCATTATTTTCAATTTTTTTTACCGTTGAAGGATCTCTGGAACATAAAATACCATTCAAAAGGGTAATATTTATTCATGTCCAGAATCACAATGAGGGGAATTGATCAAAAGTGGAGCAGACAGAATCTGGAGCAGCTGTGCATGGCAACCAATCAGCTTCTCTGAAATTATTTTCCTATCTTACCTGAGCAAACTGAAGAGAGAAGCTGATTGGTTGCCATGGGCAACTGCTCCAGTTTTGATAAATTCCCCTCCATGTATCAATAAATGATATTGAAACTACTGTAACCTCTCTTTATACAGGGATAGAGTTTAATATCACACATCTTGATGAGCTGGAAAAAAAAACCCCTGAAAGTTTACCTATCTTCTGCCGTTTTGCTAGATGGATAGTAAACCTTAAAGGCAAACCCACTTCTCGGAAAGGAGCCCTGAAAAGAGAAAACAACAGCAGAACAATACATCACTTACAGCTCGGTGCATACGGGTCATTTTTGCATTCATGTTACATACGTATAGTGACTGACCATAGACATTTGCAGCACTGTGCAAACATTAGCAATCACTCTCTCCTACATTCTGCGCTTTATTGTTCCCTAGGTGTAGCAATCGATTGCTAATGCTCGCAATTACATCGCCAGAGATTTTAGTTGCATGATGGCACACACAAAAACCACACAGCTTAACATCTCTCAATGCTATGTGTCACTGCAGCACAGGTAGAAACTGTTTGAGTGCTACGTTTTGGTTCTGTATACATTGCAAGATGCTAACATGATGACTAAGCTCTTCCACTGAATTCAATTAAGCTCCTTCTATTCTATTCTTGACTTCCTTTTCTACAGTCACAAGAACAAAACAAGGACTGCATTGTCTGAAGATATGGAAATTGTTCACATAACACAATCTAAAAAGGTATACAAGGGGAAAAGCACTGCAGCCTATTCATATCGGCAGTCTGATGTTAATTTGATTTAACCTGCTCTGCTCAGATGGTCAAAAGATTCCGTCCATTCATTCTTCTTTTGTAGATAAAAAGAATTCCTGCGGATACTCCCTTTTTTCCTGCCCCAGGCAGCATTCCTCTTCATTCAGCAACAAGCACACACAACCCCCTTTGTGAAGAGCTGGATTTGTGACGTTGGGACAAGATGAGCAACATTTCTATGTAGAATATTCAGAGTGCCCACCAGCCAATCCTCTACACTGCTTTGTGCCATAGACGCCAAGCGTCGGCACCCACACATTTCAAAACCGTATTTTCAAAAACGTGTTCTGCCCCAAGGACTTTCCATTGGCTGCTGTCGCTGGTAGACGAACATTTTCCAACTGGCTCCTTCGATTTTCTGAAGAATGCCAATGAGGCCAACCACTGAACGATCTTCACACAGTGTGTGGCCAGCTAGCCCGACCCCCTTAGAAGGAGCTCATAACTCTTAACCTAACCTTGAATCCTCAACCTAAACCCTACAACGAACGCTTTAAAGGGTAATTCCACTTTCCAAGGTGAATTTGGGGGAAAATGGAATTACCCCCTCCAATCTGGCCCCCTCTCACTATACGTACCTTTGGGTGAGTGCTCCTTCCCCTCTGCTGGTGCACTATACATAACTCGTACTGATTTAGCGCAGCCCTTCCTTCTGTATTTGGCAAGCACTTATTGGTGAGAAGTGCTTCTGACGACGCTGACCATCAAGTGACTGCGCGCCATTTGCAAGCGAAATTCAAAATACAGACCAAAGGGCTGTTTGACGGACTGAACCGTCACTGGCGCTGTTGGAGGAGCCTGAGGGCTAGCCTCCTTCCTACTGACTATGGACCTAGAACTAGAACTATGGAGACCCCCCTCAGGCCTCTTGGGGTTACTTGGTTCATGTGTGGAGTGAAAATACTGCATGTTTTCCCTGACATTACATGTAAGTGACCCTGTGTTCATTATAGGCAGCAGGCTGTCTGGAAGGGCCATTAATTAGAGTGATGGGATCGAGCTATTATCTAATTAAGGACATCCAATGCAGCACCTGGCTGTCTAGGGGAGGGAACACACTGCACTCCTATCTGATTCTGTGAGGTATAAACTCTGCGTGCTTTTTTCAATAAAGCAGTTCCTGATTTCCACTTCAACATTGGTGTTGTCTGATGTCTGAGGGGGTTAGCATTCTGTCCTATAATTAGGAAGATTTGGGCTGAGGACACTGGAATTCAGGTACCAGCGGAGAGGAAGCTGATTTCTGACGGAGGTACCCAGTCGGGGTACCAGGCGGTCCGTCCCAGGCTGCACTACACATCAGTACAGGGTACAGATGGAACACTGGCACCGGCGGAGGAGAGTTCGCCCAAAGGCAAGTATAGTCAGGGGGTGGGAGCCAGATTGGATAAACCCATTTTCCATAATTCACCTGGGAAAGTGGAATTACCCTTTAACTTTTCAGTTTCCTCCAACACTTAAACCATACCCAAGAAGTACATCGTTAGTCAGGTTGAAAAAAAGACATGTCCATAAAGTTCAACCTATAACACTTAACCCTCCCCCTAAAAAAAACCCCCAAAAAACCCTAACCACCTCAATCTCCCAGCGCACTGCAACCACTAACTACAATGGGCCACAATTATGCCTGTCTTGTATTAGATACGTGGCAAGCAGGGCTGAATATCCTTTACACAGTCAGTATGTATAAAGTTGTACAAAGATGTATTCTCTTACTGGATTAATAGTGAGACATTCTGTGTTCATGATGGTGAAGGGATCGTATTTGTCAGCGACGACAACTAAATCAGGCAGGGGGTACAGTCGCAGAGCATAGTCGTACGCCCAGTACACGGGGCTGACGAACAGTGGCAGCGGAGTCAAGTGTCCCTGAGCGAGGATGGTTTTCACAAACTAGATGAGGAACAAACAAACATATGAACTTAGTTTATACTGTCGCTAAACCATAAAAATGCACTGGCTTAGAGGACAATCGCTGAATACACAATGGAGAATGTAGTCAACTACCTACGTTTAACAGGGTCAACATTTTGCATTTACAAGGAACAAAAGTTACTAAATGCACGAAAAATAAAAACAGCAATACACAGATATACCCTGACACCCCCGGGTTTAAAACACTTTTCCTGGACACACAAATGCTTATATGTGTTAGGAAACGCTGCCCACAGTCTTTGAAACCCAAAGTCCTTTATGGGCACCCTACCTACATTTAATTAAGCAGAAATTAAATGTATTGAATGATATCTGATAGGAGAATTAATCTTGGTTCTTGGTTTGCATATAGTTAATATTTTTTTTTTTATACATTCTTTATTTATAAGATTTTCTTATATGTAACAAGCAGACAATTGTAAGTCACAACAATGGCCCGTCAAGGGCTGAGAAAGATTTCCTTATATAACAAGTAGACAATTGCAGGTCACAACAAAGGCCCGTCAAGGGCATAAGAAAGGTTTTCTTATATATATTACAAACAGGCAACTGCGAGTCCCAGCAAAGGCCCAGCAAGGGCTGAAAAGAAAAAAGGTTGTATGAGGTACATAAAGCCCCACCTATAGGAGGATTAATCTTGGTTCTTGGTTTGTATATAGTTACTATTTTGAGCAAGTAAAACTGTGCTTTTTAGAAGGTTCTGAATAAACTTGCCTTGAACAGCTTTAATTTGCTCGCAGCTGCATTCTTGTATCATTAAAACTTCTTATCTCATATTCTGTAACCACCCGTGTTACCGTTCTATGACCCATAGTAACATTTATTAATTTATATACACGTGCATGATTTTTATTGGTTTATACTCCGCCATCCCTGTTTTTTTTTATATACAGTTTTACATATACACATATATATATATATATATATATACATACACATACCAGGGGTTGTGGGTTCAAGTCCCTTCAGAGTCACTTTCTTGAGGGACCCTAACAATATCCAATAACCCTCTAAACCACCTAATGTGTTTAAAAAAACAAAACAAAAGCGGTTCATGACACTATTTCAGTACAGAGAGTTTGCCTTCCACAAGTCTCTTGAAACTTCAAACAGGGAAAGTCAACCCAAGCTGGCTACTGCCAAATTGCTGAACCATCAACTTACCTAAACCTAAAAGTTGAATGTACGGATCATATTTCTTTGTTAAACCTGAGCCATATATAGTATACTGATATTCTTGTGGGATGTATTTAAAGGAGAACTATGGGGGTCAGAGCTTTTCTCCTAAGGGTCACGGGAGAACACAAACTAGCGTTCTCCCGTGACCCAAAGCTCAGTATACCGTGAGCTACAGCTTGCGGTATACTGAAACGCCCCAGCCAGAGCCAGGTGTGCCCGCCCCCCTCCCACGTCTGCACTGGAGGATCGGACAGGGGAGGGGAGGGAAATCCCTGCAGGGAGCCGTGAGTGACAGTCACGGCTCTCTGCAGGGATAGATCGAGAAGTGTGCGAGCAACGGTATGTGTTCCCTCACTTCCCGATCTACTGAGCCGACCTGTGACAGTTTCATTGTCACAGGTCGGCTCAGATTATGAGGCTGAGTTAAAAGCACTCGCCTCATAATTCTCCTTTAAGCAGTGCAGATTTTAGAATGAATGGACATGCAATCTACAGTTATACTATAAAACTGGAACAAGGAGTAGGGAGAGTGTGTTCCCCAGGTCTGAGGGCCCTCATTTCCCCCCCCCTTTTCCCATTTTGTTTTTCTTTTTTATTTTCTTTTGCTGCATATTCCCAGTGAGTCCTAAAGAAGCAGGCTATTGAGAAGATAGGTGTAGGAAGAGGTATGATTCAAAAGGGGATATGCAGTAAAATAGTGTATTGTATTAAATATGTATTGTGTATATTTTGTCTTTTTGTTGTTGTTCTCGTGGCTATAATATTTTATGTCAATGTATTGTCAATATAT